ACAATTATGTTTTTGCAGAATCGCTATCAAGCAATGGTGTTTGATATGGTGGAAAATCGTAAGTTTGAGATCTTTATCATCCTGGTGATCACAGTGAACATGATAGTTATGATGGTGCAACACTATGGCCAGCCCCCACAAGTCACACGGGTGCTCGATATCCTTTGTCAAAAATAATCCTTATTTACTTAATAACTTATGAGTATTTTTCGACAAGGAGAATAGAGGCGGCACACTTTTAATGAAACACACTTATCGACCAATTAGCGTGCGAGAGGTTTCTTACTTATAGCTAGAAAAACCTGGCGGAATTTTTTTATAGCATGCAACTAATTTTAAGTTAGTGAATCATATTTCTTAGCTGTAAATATACGATATTTTCCTTAATAAGAGACTGCCATGTGCGTCCATCACATATCTTCAATATCATTTTCACCTGTATTTTCATCATTGAGGCCCTGTTGCGAATCATTGCCCTACGATGGGGATATTTCCTACAGCGCTGGAATGTGTTTGACTTCGTCATTGTTTTACTCTCCATAGTGGGTAAGTAAATTATTGGTAACCTTTGATTTTTTTTAGTTACAGCACAGCTGCTCCTTTTGCAAGTGTCGACAAGCTGCAACTTTACAAGGGTCTCGTCATTCTGAGAAAATTTCATGATAAATTAAAAAAAACTGCACAGATTTGTGTGACTGGGGGTATCTGCTTCTACCGATATTCGATCAACGCGGTCTTTGAATAGGAATAATTTAATAACTTCGTCTCTCCGATACTTTCAGCCTCATTTATCTCAAACCCTTTGTAACTCGTGTCCGAAAATCTTTTTCGCGATCAGGATTATTATCTCTTCAAGAGATTATAAACAGTTTATAAGCTCTTGCTCTCTTATAATATTTTAGATTTTGTTAGCTGATTTGGAAAAAAGATATGTCCTTGTCGGTGTGCGCAGATTTTTTACGTCCCACTTTCGACCCGGGGTGGCACTATCTCATATATTTCTTCATTTGTCTTTATGATTCAGGTATAATAGTGGAGAGCTTAAACAAAACAGGAATCATCATAACACCCAATTTACTGCGCGTTGTTCGCGTGTTCCGAGTTGGAAGACTACTACGCTTCTTTGAGAAAGCTAAGGGGATTCGACGATTAATGTTTTCATTAGTTGTTTCCTTGCCAGCTCTCTTCAATGTGGGTGCCATACTTTTTCTTATTGTGTTTATCTACGCCATTATTGGGATGTCATTCTTCGCGCATGTCAAGAAGACAGGGGCGTTAAATGAAGTGGTTAATTTTGAAACCTTTTTAAACTCGATGTTGTTGATTTTTCGTCTGATGACAGCAGCGGGCTGGAACGATGTTTTGGAGCCCTTGATGATAAAACCACCCGACTGTGATCCAAATTATAAAGGACTTTCCAACGGAAACTGCGGAAATGGTTGGATTGCTGTTTGCTATTTTTCCAGCTTTATCGTAATTATTTTCCTAGTTCTTATTAACATGTATGTGGCGGTTGTATTGGAAAATTACAACAATGTCATGGAGCAGGAAAAGATAGGAATTACCGGAGAGGATGTAGATTTGTTTTATCAGCACTGGAAATTGTATGACCCCGATGGCACCCAGTATATTTATTACAAGGATCTTTCAGACTTTCTGCACACCTTAGGAGGAAACTTGAAGATTAAGAAGCCAAACAAGGCCGCATGCGCATTGCTGAACATACCGCTGTACGAAGACGACAAGATTTTCTGTCTGCACTTGTTGCAAGTTTTGGTGAAGAGAGTTGTAGCCGGATACGAAGATAGCAACTCCGAGGAGTTTAACATGGTCATGAAACGAATGGAAGAAAGATTTAAAACTAATTTTCCCGCTACTAATGAGAACCGTCCAACCATCACGACAATGGACAAAAAGCGACAGATTGCGGCTGCGAGGGTCATAACACGTGCTATCAGAAGATATCGAGAGAGGAAACGGAGAGAAGCTTTCAGACTAAGTCTTGGTGAGACAAAAAGTTCAGTAGATATGGGAATGATCCCGCACTTAGGGGAAACAAAAAGCCGTGTAGCCGCCTTAGTTTTAACTGAGAAGAGACTGAGTGATTCTCTCCCCGACTTATGCAAAAGTTCTCGCCAGGCAGGCAGAGAAAAATACAAAGTAACTATAACAAGGACGCCTTCATTCGACAGAGCCGTTTTCAACAGAGAGGAGGTCTTGAGACAAGAAGCACTTGTTAATGCTCCGCTAAAGAACGAAAAAGTATCGGAACAACCTAAAAGTTACGAAAAGTGAATACTGGCCATCCTGAAACCACTTCAAATTTGATAACTGTTTTTTAATTTAACTGCGTTTGATTTAAATATATCACAAGTTTTGTAAAGAATATTAAAGATGAAACTTCTTTCGACAGCGTTACTTAACGTATCGGCTTAACTTTCTTTTCGAACGCGTTCATTTTTTCTGTTCCAGTGAAGCGTAAATAACTAGAATGAATTTTTTTCTATTTTGATGACGTATCTCAAAGGAGAGATTCAAAGGAGTCGTTGATTGGTTGTTTCTCGTTTTTGAACTTTCGCATGCATTTGACCGACCAATATCAGATATAGTGTATGAAACTCTGAACAGCTATGTCATCGGTAGACTGATGTAGCGAGCTGTCCATTTTTTATTCTTTTCTTTTTTTTTTCTAAACACATATTATTATACAGTTAAAAGAAATACAAAACGCTCAGGCCGCGCTAGAGTGAGAACAGGGAACAGAGAACCTCAGACCCTTCTATCTGAGGTGGGGGCTCCCCGGACAACTTTTTTTTTATAGATTTCTATTGGTCAACCAATACAACAAACCTCATGTTTTTTACCAATCGGAGCACGCGTAGTATCCCAATTGTTCTGTACTTGCGGAATGATTTGATGTCATAAAGGTTACGAAGCAATGCATCGTGACGCAAGAATTGAATCAAGAGCAGGAAATTCTATAGTCGCCAAACTTTCAGTTGAAAGTAAGCTTCCTCGGTAATGCGACAATCTACCTTCCCATGCATTCTCTTGTTCTTGATGTTATGCTGTACATCTGGCAAATATTTATCTGGAAATATCAAAAATGGACAAAGTTGGGTGTTCGTATCTGAATTTTCCTTCGTTGATGATCAAGGAAAGCTGGAATACAAAGTGGAATATTCTGTAACAGGAGAATGTTGTCCGAGTCTGGCGTATTATTCTCACGACTCATATAAAACCGTTTCAACCAATAATGACATGGACTGCCAATCTAAGCTTTCTCGTGCTCAGGGAATTGTTAAATTTCAAAGTACACCGACGGACGACAGTTCAAACATCTCAGGAAACTATTCATCCCAATGCTTCCATATCATCGACAAAAATCTTCGGAAATGCTCGGGTATTCTTCGTGTTTATTCACCAGACCAATGGTGGTTCTTTGCACTAAGTCACTGTAATAGTTCACAGGGATTGGACATTTCTTATGAATTTACTTTTACAAACAGTGACAACTGGGAGGAACATTTATCAGGTGAAGAAATGCATGGCGTTGAGAATCTAGCAGTGTCATTTGGATCCATACTTGTTTTATTTGGGATTGGTTTACTCTTTGCACGAAGGCTTCTTCAACTGGATAAACTACACAAGGCCTTCAAAGTGTTCATGGCATCATTAAGCTGTGAAGTAATCGCTCAGCTTCTTATTTGTATATACTACATACCTTATGTCCGAAGTGGAATACAAATTCCCTATTTAACAAATGCTGCAGAGCTACTCCATCTTAAAAGCCAAGTCATTTTTATCCTGCTTCTAATTTTGTTGGCACATGGGTGGACGATGACCAAAGCCCGCATCAGCAGAGATCTTGCTAAGTTTTGTTCGCTGCTCGCCTTTACCTACGGATGTCTGTTCGCGTACAAACAGGCATTTTCCGACCATCTGATTGCCCATTTTTTTCTCGAAGGTCTTGCAGATAAAGGGTATCAATTTCTACGGATAATTGCTTGGGTTTGTTTTGCATTTGGACTATATTTGTCCTTCCGAAATCATTCTGATAAGAAAATATTCTACCTTTATTTTGGAGCTCTCTGTTCCGTGTGGTTTTTGTTTGAACCATTATCTACCTTAGCATTCTCTTTCCTTCTCAGCGGGCCAAGTTCAATGAAAATAATGCGACTTTTTCGCTCAACTTGGCTTGATATACTGGGGTTTGGCGGAATTTTGCGTCTTATGCTACCAAGTATGGTTGATGTGGTTTTCCCTCATCGTGTTCCTGTAAACGAAGTTGATACTGTACAAGTTCAAGATTGGAACAATTTTCAGCGAACATAGCACTTAAATTATCATTTCTAAGCTAGACAAAGCGGGCAATAATACTTGTGTGTAACACACAATTTCGTAAAGCAAATTAATTAATCTCGCTGGAATATCTCAGGATACAACTGCAGCAAAGTGGAGCAATACTTCAACTGAGAACTTTCCTCAAAGTGATTTTTGCAGAACGTTTCTGCTAATAAAGTCTTAAACCGTGATAGTTGGACTGCACTCTCTTAAATTTTATTTCCAACTAAAATCTTTGAGCTCACTTGGGGTGAAAAGGTGTGCATTAACCCAACAGTGATATAAATATGACGGTAACAGGCCAAGTTCTCTTTAGCACACAAAAAATAGAGCATGGTTTGTGTAGCCAATCAGAACACAGGATTCGCTTCGTTCATCTCCTCGTAGCTGTATAGACTGTTTTCGTTCCCAACCTCTCACGAACCAATTGCTTGTTTTCAATACTCTGTCGTGTGTGACACTTCAAAGCGCGCTCACTAACCGCCAGCTGTGTAGGTTACACATTTTATGGAAACGCTAATCCTCTATTGATTCATCAGTGCTTATCAAATACTTTACAAATGACCAATAACAAAATAAAATCTCTTATATACTCTCTCATCAATCTGACCTCTCTTTGTCGTTAAAATGATATCATTTCTTCGTATCCCCAATTCTCCAATCCACAACAGTGTTAGAAAAGAAATAAACGTCTTCATTCCTTTGTTTTAGATTTCATTTACTCCAAAAATATCTTATCTTTTAATTGGGATGCTTGCTCTGTTATCAGTTAATCACATGGTCTGAAAGTATTACAAAATACTTTATCGTCTTTGCTCGATGTGATGCCAAATTGGATCAAACAATTGCTTGTGTTAATTATATATTAATTTGTTTTTCTTTAACAAAGAAATTTCCACCTGATTTAAACGAAAATATATACAAAAGATTTCAATAAAACAGAGATCAGAGATAATATAGCCATGAAACTGGAAAATCATACTTTGAGGGTAGCACGTTGAAACATATAACTTCTACTTGTGCTTACATTCAGCTATTGGGAATCATGTTTTCTAGTGAAAAAGAGCCGACATTTTATGAATTATTTTACAAAATATTTAAAATTTGAGAATGAGTTGAAAATAAATTATAGGTGTTTTGTACTGATGCGCCTGCAGAGCGTAACTCAAAATTCCTCAGTCAAATATTTATGCCCAAAATCCATGAAAAGACGCTTTTTACCTACATAAGGATAGAACATGAATCATTTGAGCTGTAACGCTTTTTTTGTCATATTCATGAGATTTTCTTTTCAAAACTGTCGTGATGAGAATTGCAGCAGAGGAACGTGGAACAAGTTGTGAATTTGTTTCCTGATGTTTGACATATTCTTACAAATGAATATTCATCCTTTTCAATAGTATTGAAATTTTTTGTTGCACCAGAACATAATTTTGCTTTTATTTCTACGAGCGACTAAAGCAATTTAATACAATTAAACCACGCTTCCACTGCGACGCTTAGCAATAGGCTTACTGATCGTTAATCGTAGTTTACATATTCAATTTCATTGAAAAATTCCGACAGGAGATGGTTGGTTCACTTCAAGATATATGTATCTGCTACATGAAAACTTCCGAGTTGAGCCAGAACTATGCTATGGCTGTTGAACCAGGTTACATCGCAAGACAGATTTTTATCACTCGAGTTGAAGAGTTACCTGTTGTATTTATTCATTCTCGATGCACGATTAAGGACGGAAATTTTCAGCGCAGAATCATTTGCGGATTTCACCTTTCTAGGAAAACTTTTTTGTTTGGTGTCTTCGAAGGTTGCATTTGCCAAGATCCCCGAAATTTAGTGCAATGGTGCAGCGAAATCAGCTCGAAAGGTAAGCGATATGAACGACGTACTCTTGCATTCTGAGTTAAATAAGAAATAGAGGGCAAATCTGGTCTTAAATTTCACCCGCATTACATGCTTCAAAACGAACGATATGGGCAAAATTCCGTTCGGTTTACCTGTTAGAATTGATTGCTTTTATCCATAAATATTTCGCGGAGGAAAAAAGTATCTGGTAAATTCTCAGTCAAGTGATTTTGTTATGCGTTTCAATTTTGTTTGGTCAACACTATTCCAAACGTTTTGGAGTTTAGCATCGACGTTTGTGAACCACGTGGAACTTGTTCTGTTACCATTGCATATTACATATTATGCCTCAAATCCATTCGTGTTTCACATCACGAGAAGACATGGGACCTGGGACACGTACAGCTCTCAGCTGCAAATATCTCATTGCGATCTGTGTTTTGGAAAAGTAATTTCAAAGCATAATAAACAAACAGAATACCTCTTAGTTCGCGTGGGAAAAATTTTAGGAAAGATTCCGTATTACCTCATACTGAAGTAAAGCATTGGTCCCCAAAGAAGATTTATTGTTTTCGCTATTGTTTCCATCTTCCAAGTAACAGCTGCCATGACAAAGTATGTTGTCATTTGAAAATCTTGCTCGGTTTACAATGTTAACACCAATCACCGCTTCTGAATGCTACGTCAAAAAATCACGGATAATTTTCACTTATAGTCGCACCGAGGTAATTACCGAGTACCTAAGCAACACCAAAAGCTCTGACAAAAGTTATCTCATAGACCAAGGTAAACAGAGTTAGTTACCTGGTATAATTTTTCCACATAAGTCTCCGATGACATCATATGTTTTATGTCACCTTTAGATATAGTTCAACATATCACTAAATACAAGCTGTTGGGCTTCTCGCACAGGGACACCATCCGCCATATCTGTAAACCGACAGGCTGGCCATCAAGACAAACAAGTTACCTTTATGGACATGTTGCCAGGTGGATAGTGAAATATCAACATTGGTTGACGATTGAACTGAATCAAGACTTCCTTAGAATTGCAAGTGAAAAAATAGAACGTTTACCACAACTTACCCTTCCGGGCTACATATGATTCGAGAATTTTGTTTTAAGCCGTTTGATTCCGAACTTATTCAAACTCGAAAAGAGCAAAAAGTAGTTTTAGTTTCCAAATAATTGATAGATAATTCTCACCGGTCCTTCATGCAAATGTTAAGCGATCTAGAGGTGGGTGGGAAGAACAGATCGGTTAATTATATTATAAAAAATATGTTGTTAATTGTCTTTGCTGGTCGAGATTGGCCATGTCTATGTTTGGCAGCGCATGTAACTCATTAGGATGAAGCGTCAGTGTGACAGTGTGATCGCATTTCGGGCAGGCAATGCCAACTTTCTGTTTGATCATGGATGTTTCAAACAGTCGATCACAAGCGGTGAAAACCTGATGGCCATGGTCCACCTTGAAGATCATGGCCATAGTTTTTGGAGCGTGAGTCTTTCCATTGCTGTAGGATCCAGTTTCCACGGAGCGTTGGAGACCAGCCTACCTCAAGTTGGTCTCAAGGTTATCTTTGGATCTCTTTCTCAGGCTTCCACGCTCACACTTTCCAAAAATAAAATGGTGGCAACGTACGCTTCCAAATGTATACTAGTTGGGTTTGCTACGAGGCCGTGCGAAAAAAAAATTTCTGTGTTGAGGCAAAAAAAAAAAAAAAAAGAATAGTTTTTAATGTGCGTCAGCTGCTTTATAAAAATTGTGTTTTGCCTGTTCTTTGTTTCCTTTCCTAGGGGAGTTCAATTTAAACAACTAGCGAGCTACCTTTTTGATTCAGTAGGACTAAAATGATTGTCTTTGTAATTTTCTTACTGTACAACCATCTTCACGCTTATTGTTTCTTTTTGTGCAAATTCAAGAAATTCGTTGGTAAATTTAAGCTCAAAGAAGTATTTGTTCTTTAAAATCCAACGGGTTACTTCTTGGTATAATCGTGCCTCTGTCCGCGATTGTTCAGATTGACAACTTGTCTCAATAACTTGTTGTATGTAGAACAAAATTTCTTTTACTTGGACTGAGTTCTTCCACGTTACACTCTCCAGTTGGTCCAGAGATACAACTGTTTGATACTCGCCAAATAAAAATTCCCTTTTTAAAGCGTGATAACCGCAAATCGCACCTGAGACCATGTTTCCATCTGATTTAGTGGGAATATCGCTTATGAGGATAATGTATCGTCTA